CGGTGCGCCTTATGGTCGTGAAAATACGGTACTTTAAATATGAAATTATTACATAGTGTTGAATAAATTATTTTACTTAAGAGTAATTTTCATTTGAATGTTCTTTACTGGAGACATCCATGTTTGTCAAACAACACTACTGCCACCTACTGGTTTGTGACGTCACGGTATCGGCTGTTGATCAAGTCCGAATGCTGTATTCCAGAGGTCACAGATTAGCATGCAACGCTCTATTATCCAAGTCATCTTGAAAATATTCTTCTTCCAAATGTTGGCTGCATATGTGTTTTTTCTCTGGCCAGAAGTTCGATGGCAAATCCTTCCGGATTGTTGTTTTTTTTTTTTTTACTGATTAACGTTACTTACATTAAATCACCGCAAACTTATTAGTTTCTGGTATAGATAATGATCCATCAATTATTCCTTGCTTAACGGACTTCCTCCTTTAAAGGTTCAAAGAATTCTTTTTATTTCAGATCACCTGAACGAGCGACGCAAAATCAAATAATTCTTTTTACCAAAAAATACAACATATGAAGAAATGTTGACATGCTAACGTAGACATGAAAGCAGACCAGGACTTTCAATGCTAAACCCCACTAGCTGTTAGCAGCCTGCCTTGCCTCCGCCCCCGCCCCAGTATTACCCCCCCATCCTTTCTCCCTTTTTGCTTAAGCCTGCCCTGCATGTTCAGCACTATGGAGGACCAATCCTTCCATAATTAAAAATAAATACAGAAATATAAAAATGACAGGCAGACATAAATAGCATGGGAGAAATAGATAGGAGAAAAAAATACAAAGGAAGAATAAACCAGACAAAAATATTATAACATGCACAAAAATAAACACTTAAAGAAATAATAAATAAAGTTGAAGATTATAAAGGACAATAAATAAATAAGGTAATTATTACAAAGGCGAAAAAACTAAAAAGCTAATTAAAAGAGATTTATATATATATGTCTCACTGTATAATTTCATTTCTATCTACATTCATTTGTTTATTGTATTTTTCGGGGCAATTAATTGTGTGCTTATCTATTTTTGGAACATTTATTTATTTCTGTATTTATTTTTATTTATGGCAGGATTGGTCCTCCATACACACTATAACCTGTGACTGACTGAGGTTTTTCATTCTTCAGAAATGTGAAGATTGTGTTTCTATAGCAACACTAAAACTAAGCAAAAAACATTTGCTGCAGTAAACTGAGGAGTGAAGCCCGGAGCTCGGTCCTCCTGTTCCTTGGACGGCGAGAGCCTACAGTAACGGGGTTGCTGGGGCCTCCTACCTGTCCTGGGGGAAAATAAGCAGCTGCTCAGAGTTGTAGAGCTCCTGCAGGACGTTAGAGAGGAACTGCCCCCACCAGGGTTCGCCCCCACATAGCTGCACCAGCAGCAGGCCGGCATGGAGGCGGATTTTGGGCGTCCCGCTGATGCAGAGGTGTTTAAACAGCTCCTCACAGGCTTGGGCGTGGAAGGTATTCTGGAGCACCGAGGGGACACAGTGTCCTGACGAGACAAATGGACCCGTTAGTCAATATTAGTTAAAGACGGACAGAGGCCAACCTGCAGCAGCACTCACCGTTATTGGAATGCAGAAGGCTGAGCAGGGTGTCCAGCAGGTAGCGGATGATTGTCCTGAGCTGCTCGGTGGATGAAACGTGAACGAGCCCCTGAGGGTCCCCAGCTTTGGGCAGACACTTCCGGCTGGCCCCCAACGACACCCGCAGCCTCTGGACGGCGTGGTGGGCCAGGTTAAGCTGCAGCTGCAGCTGGATGCAGTCCTGGTAGGCGGAGAAAACCCGCTGGTCCTCTTCCACCACCTTGTCTGGTTTTCTTAGGAAGTACTGAGCGTTGTTGGCGCTGTTCAGAGGCGGAAGGTCGATGTTGTGAAGAAGGGTCTCCAGCCGATGGCAAGCTAGGTTGTACCTTAGAAACCGAGCAGATTATAGTTAGTGTGGCTCAGGTTATCCTGAGCTATCTCTATAGTTATGCTGCTATAGGCTTAGACTGCTGGAAGACATAGGGACCCCTTCTTCATTGTTCTGCTTCTTTCTCTCTCTATTCTCCCACTCTGCAGAATCTGTTAGTTCAATCTCTAACGTTCTGCTCTCTCTGCTTTTTCTCATAGTAGCTTCATCTGGTCTGTTCCTGTTTGGCTGTGACTCCATCCTGGAGAGAAATATCAGCTGTGCTGCTGCCATCAACACATTTGTTTATAGATGTTGGACATCAGCCTGTTTTCCAGTGTAGTCCTGTTTCTCTGACTGTGACTAACTGGATGTGCTCTCTTCATCCTCTGACATGGGAGCTGGCTTGGAGCTAGTCTGCCTGGCTGTTTGTTTCCTGGACGGGGCCGCCTTTTACAATTGCTTTTTGTATCTCTGCTTCTTTTTCTATGTCTGCTTCTGTCTCCTTGAACCCCAGTTGACCTCAGCAGATGGCCGCTCACACTGAACCTGGTTCTGCTGGAGGTTTCTTCCTGTTAAAAGGGAGTTTTTCCTCTCCACTGTCGCTACTAGCATTCTTAGTGTGAGGGATTGCATTAGAGTCAATGAGTCGATGCAATCAGCTGGTTTTCCTTAGATAGAAAACTTTGAATCAATCTGACTGGATGAACTGTAAAGTGCCTTGAGATGACATGTGTTGTGATTTGGGGCTATATAAATAAATTAAATTGAACTGAATTAATTAATTTTAAGGTCAAAGCTGAGGAGCAACCACATAACACCATCTGAGGGGAACCACCTGCACTGGATGTCCTCCTGCAGAGCTACCATCATGGTCAGATGTTGATCCACGTCAGGCTGACTGGCTGCCTCACTTTCTCCCCGCAGTGGATCATGCATCAGTTTCAGCTCGCTCTCCCAGGGTAGGATGTATGTGTGGCCGTAGAAGAAGCCTAACGGGATCTTGGCTCGCGCGCTGGTGCTGCCGTAGCGTCCGATGACTGTGATCTGAATGAACGGGTTGGAGAAATCAGGGCCGCCCAGCAGGTTTAAAATGGATCGCAGTCCTCACCAGATCACAGAGATACTGACCTTCATGAACCTACAGACCGGTGGTGGCAGAAGGTCGTGAAGAATCAGTGAGTGGGTGCTGATGTCTGAGGCCACAACCAGCCTGCGACCGTCCACCTCCTCGCCTAGCGTCCAGATGTCTATGGACAGAGAGGCTAGGTCCCCACAGGTCGGGATCAGGGCATCGGTCAGCAGAACGGGACGGCCGAAGTCCAGGGTGACGAAGCGCCGAGCTCCTGGTCAGAAAAAACGATAGTTCAAAATGACCACTGAAACCAACAGACTGGGAATAAATCAATGATAGAAGTAGAGATTCTAGAACTGTTCTGCTTTGGGACATTTGTTAGGAAGCAAAACCACACCAAGTTAAAAAACGGCTCAAGCAAAAGTATACTAATACTTCTGCCGGATCCAGTTGAGTTGAGCTGAAGAGGCAAAACAGGAGCAAAGATAGTAGAGGAGGAGGAAATTCAAGCCTTCTCTCCCATCGATCATTAAGGCCAAAGTGAGATCTTTAAGAAACCAGTTTCAAGGGCCGTTTCTCATTACATGTACTTGCGTTCTCATGTGCTTCTGTCCTCAGCCCTAATACTGTTCCAATTCACAAGAAGACCAAGAACGGACAAAGTCCCCGGATGTTGTTCTCACCGCTCCCTCTTTACCCAGCATGCATCAGAGCAGACTTGCCCGTTCTTGAGACTGACAGCTGTTCCGGCATGCACCACGGCAGCAGCAGCTCCCAGGTTAGCGTTCACAGACCTCAGAGTATTAAGTTAAAAGTTCTCTTTTCTGTTGTCGTTTTACTTAAAAGTACGTTTTAAGATCATTTGAGGCGAGAACATATTACTTTTAGCTTCACTAGATGGCCAATTTACTGATTTAGTGTGTAATAAAAAAAAAAAGTTGCCATGTTGAGAGGCTGCCCACAGATGGGCTAAAATTAGCCCTGGCTGCTGTTAGCCTTTAAGGTCCGCTGGTTGCCACGGTCCTCTCAACATCGGAACTTTTAAATCTAACAAACTAAGGTCAGCTCGCCATACGCTTTAACCAAACAACAAAGGTAATTAAATTATTTGTACATGACTAAAGGGATACACGCCTGTTGAGGTAGTTTAAAGTTTATTCTTCATTTAAAACTAAAAGGATAAATGGGTATTGACTATGGGTATGCTGGTGTGACCGGGTATGCTCCTCTTACAGAACACCGGCTTACCCATAATGTAAATGCAGTCAATGACACACCGCCTCTGCATAACGGGAAATCTCTGTAAACAAGCCTAAAATGTACCCTTTTAAATATAACAGTGCAGTCTGAAACATCTTCCGCATGACTTAAAAATGTAGATTTTGCAAAAAACAAAAATTATAAAACAAAAAAAACCTTTTTTAAATTTTGCCTGACAGTCGTCCTGCCGAGATGTGTCCCTGGATGGACGGATCACGTTTAAAGAACAGAGTGTCTCCATTAAAATACTTTTTCAGACCCGTCACAAAACATACCGCTAATGAAGATCCTTCCTGCATACATCTATTCACATATAAAAATTTCACATTTCATTTCCCTCTAGGATCTATAAAATGTTTTTGAATTGGCCTACTGTCATCTGATAGCATATTATTCAACGATACATACCAGAGTGCATTCGCTCGATGATTATGGACTGGTGTGGAGGAGGCTGCAGGAAGTGAGATGCCTGAGAGATAGCCAGAGCCAAACCGCTGCCCATTGGGCTCTGCAACACAAAACATTCTGATTTTAACAAAAAAAAAATACTTTAATTTTCATCTGTCGACAAGCATTGTGTTACCCTGAAACCGGGAACCTGCAGTTAACCCTTTCCATCCAACTAAAATGCTAATTAGAAGAGAACTTTCAATTTTTAAAAGGAGGAAATGTGTATTTGCGGTGTTTCAATTTGGTTTGAAGCGAATAAACCAGGCAACACCAAACGTAATGTCGTCATAGGTCGTCCACGTACCGCATGGCTGTAATAATCAGGAAGTAAAGGCTGCAATCTGGCACTGACCACAGATCAGTAATGGAGGAATGTTTTGATCAATGTGTTGCCATCTGTCAAGCTGTTCTTATCTTAAAATGCTGGCGTACCAGCAGCCATAATTGGCTCTACCTTGGCCCTATTGTGGTTCTACCTTTTTTATACCTCATCCAAAATAGCCATGTTATTTATATATCTATCTCCATAGTTATGCTGCTATAGACTTAGACTGCTGGAGGACATAGGGTCCCCTTTTCATAATTCTGCTTCATTCTATCTCTATTGTCCCATTCTGCAGCAGTCCGTCCACACTGAGCCTGGTTCTGCTGGAGGTTTCTTCCTGTTCAAAGGGAGTTTTCCTCTCCACTCTCACTACAGGCATGCTTGGTGTGAAGGATTGAGTGAATTAACTCTGTAAAGTTCCCTGAAATTACATGTTTTGTGAGCTGGTGCTAAATAAATAAATTGGAACATCTGGGAAGATAAGTAATTTTTTCTTAAAATAAGTGCATTTGTTCTTGGATTGAGGAGTTAAAGGAAACAGTTTGTTAATAAGAAAACACAATTGCATTGTCTTGTTTCAAGTGCATATAATCTAATTATCTTATTTTTAGAGTAAAAATACTCATTCCATTGGCAAACTCATTTACCTACTCAAATTAAGAGTAAATACACTGAATTTAGGAATTCTTTTTACTTATTTCTAGATCGTTTTTCCAAGTCCTCCAAAAACTGACTCTGGAGAAGATGCCTCTCAAGGTCACGAAAAAAAAAAAAAAAGAGCCGTAAGTCAGAGCTAGAGCAGAGGAGCGTCCAAGTAATCCAAACACGGGCAGGAAAAACAAAGCGACGTCTGGGACTCCATTACTGACCTGTTTGGTTTTGTGCGTGTTCTTGTGTGCAGCCATGTTGACGGGGCCCTGCTCCATCATGGAGCCTGGGAACAGGTGAGCCAGCTCTGCACTGAAGGCTGCAGACACCGCCTCGTTGGGCGGGGTGAGAGGCGGGGTCATGAAGAGAGGCGTGGTTTTAGGCGTAGGTGGGATGACATCTGAGGGATGGATGAAGAAGCCCGGAGCGGACGAGTTTGAAGGCACCGAGTTATGGATGGGTCCGACTCCAGAGGCCACGGCGGCAGCTGCAGACGTGGTCTGATGAAGCTTGGCCTCCAGCTTTGCTTTCTGCTCCCAGAAGAGGAGAGACGATTAAAGACGAAGGTACTGAGGATGAGTCATTTAACCTTCACTTGAGCACAAATTTATAGTTTTTACCAGTGGCGGTTGGCCAACAGAGGGCGCCGCCCCCACTTACCGAACGATCCTATTTAAGACTTTTTTAAAAAAGTTTTCTTTTTTTTTTTACACAACTTCATTTCAAATTAAAATTTTTAATATTTCGTAATGTATAGATATATATTTTTTAGATATTCAAGATAAATATTTTATCTTTAATAACAAGTAAAGTATCATTTCATTTCTCGTAGGATTGGTAACGTATTTCCACCCTAGGGCACAAAAATCTTTGCCCATTGAACCTCGTTAAAAGTTGTGCATGCACAGTAGCTCCTCTGCAATACAGAAGTACAAGAGAGCTCAGGGTGCAGGTAAGCTGTGACCTGAGGTGACAGGAAGTGTATTTGCTCACTGCCTCCCACCACAGGAGTTGGATACGAGAGAGAGAAAAATGGAGCAATAAACGTCCTTTTCCAGAACCCGGTTTAGCTAGGTTAGGCTAACTGCATGCAGTGAGGCTAACACTGTATTCTGCTTCCCCTGCCTCCTTTTTCAAACGTCAGGATCTGAGCCAGCATGGATAAAGACAAGGAGGACTGATTTAAAGCACTTTGTAGAAAAACGCAAAGAAGAATGAACAATCTGGGATTCACATGGAAAATAATAGAATATAGTGCACTTTTTCTAGACGTTTGCATAGTTACTCTTAAACACTTTCTCAGAAAATAAATTGTTCATATATATAATAAAAAATATAAAGCTGATTAATCGCTTCTCCATTATTAAACTGATACATTTTTTTTTTTTAGGTTGGTGACACCATATTGGTCCATGCAAAGCACAGATTTACCTTCACAGAGCGTCAGAAGGCAAGATTTATGTACAAAAAGTAAACCAGTACATGAAATTGTGTCTTGTATTTATAGTGTTTTTATAATGTTCTTTGTTATTGGCATTCATAGAAAAATAGTGGTGTGATAACTTAGTATAAGTTTAATTGTTTTTTGGTATATGTCTACTTTGAATTTATAGCGCCCCCTGGAGAAAACTTTACCGGCTGCCACAGGTTTTTACAATAAGAATCCATCTTTAAGTGAACCTTTAAACTCTTTCTCTAAGTGGTACATAAGCGGTGAATTTAGGATGTGAATCAAATCAAAAAACGTCCACATATGTCTTCTCCGTCTTTCACCATCAAAATACGGAGCCGAGCAATTTTTTTGCTCCGCCCCAGTCAGGTAAAGATCCGCAATCACAATCACACCAAACAGGAAAAAGAACGGCGAGAATATCCGGTTTGTCAAATTAAAATATAGTAACAACAGATCGGTAACTACAAATTATAGCATAATTCTTATAAATTCCCCAAAACTAAGACCGTTAAATTAAATGATTGGATGCAAACTATTGGTACTTGAACATACCAGGAAGCAGATTTTTTCATCTTCATCAAAATATTTATTCTATACTGAGAGGCTTAAAAGTTTAATCAAATCCTGTCAAAACAAAGTTCTTATCAAAGGCCTGGATGAAGAGATGCGGAGTTTGGAAGTAGAGAACAAAAAAGTTCATAAAAAGCAATATTCAATGATGCTAGTTATCCCTGTTACAAAAATCCTCAACAAAAAGAAAATATTTGGTCTGAAACTGAACATGATGGATGCTAATGCGGATTTTTTTATTATGTGATATTAATTTAAGCGTTCATTTCCACATGTTAAGCTCCTATGAATTTAATAATAATATAGCACATGCTCTTCTCGAGCTCCAAAGAAGTCGGAGTGCAGCAAGACGAGAGGAACAGGGGGGACTGTAGGCTTTGCTTTGTGCAGGCGGTCTGGAGCACAGCGGAGCGGTGCGCTCACGGAGCATTATAACCTCCTAAAGTTGTGACCTTATGCTCTTAATCTTACATGACCTCTTGACTTTATTATTTAAATGTTGCTTCTGATACCATAGACCTGATATAACACCTTTATTCTGGTCATGATGACTTTGTTTCATCTCCATTTGCTTTCATTATGCTCCTTTAAAAGAGTCAGTATTCGAACATCAGCACCAATGAGGCCTTTCTTTGCTTGTGGTATAACCCTTCTGAAAGCGAGCAAACAGAACCTCACCTGTTGCTGCAGCTTCAGCAGCTGCAGCTGTTTCTCCTGCAGCACCTGCAGTTGCTGCTCGGCAGACACCATGGCGTGGGACAGCGACTGCAGGGCCACCTGAGCTGCAGAGCTCAGAGCTGTTGAAGCTTCTCCCACCGTCCCCGTCGACAGGCCGCCCACTGTCGGGGTCACGCCAAACGTACTCACTGGCATGAAGAAGCACAACCACCAAACTTAACGTGTGGCCGGAAAGAAAAGGTTTTCTGAAAGCAGTTTGGTGAAAAGCAGAGGAAGAGTTACCAGTGAACATGCTGGCGTCGTCTCGCTCCACCCGTGTGCCGTCGCTGGTGGATATACAGGTAAAGTGCAAAGGCTCCACCTCCAGGAGTCCAGTCAACGCCGTGAAGCTCCCCTCTGCTGCAGCTGAACTGCTCACCTTTCCATTCCCTGCAAAACATTCCAGCTCTGACATCTTTTCTCATTTTATCTGAACACCTGCGCTTCTTCCGACTCCTACCTGAGAGGATCTCGGAGAGGTCGATCTCATCTGACTGGACTCCAATGCTGCTGTTGAAGGCGTTCTTACAGGAGGAGCCGCTGACCTCCAGGTCAAAAAGCACCGGGTCAAACGGAGAGCTGTACAGGCCGTACCTGAGGGAACCGCAGACGATGCATCAGACACTGCCGAGTGAAACGGCAGCTATGGAGACCATCCAGGCGGACTGTGGACCTACCTGGTCTGCAGCAGAGCCTCCAGCGGGGTGAGGCGGTCCTGCAGCTGTCTGGAGATGGTGGTGAGCAGGGAGGCGCATGCTGTGCTGCATCCTGCCAGGTCTTCCTCCTTCACGTAGTTCAGCAACACAAAGTACCAGAACACCGAGCCTGTGGAGCAGACGTCAGAGCTGGCTGAGACCTGAGCGGGAGGGAGGGCTGCGGCTGTGCTGCAATGCTTGCATACTCACCGCCGGTCGCTGCTGCAGGCAAATACGATATGTTATCCAGTAGGGCCTTCAGGAGGCTCAGGCCAAATCCCTGCTGGCTTGGCTCTCCTTTCCCGTTGCTAAACAAGGCGACAGGAAACAGCTGTCAGCATGGAAACCATCTAGTCCCAGCAGAAGGGAAAAGTTCTGACGTTTCTTACCTGATGCAAAGTGCAAGAAAGCGAGCACATTTATGTGCTATGCTGCGGCCCGCCTCAAAGAAACAGACGCGCACGATGTCCGTTAACCTCACCCTGGTTTTGGCCAGGAGACCCTCCTTCCCTTCCCTAATACTAATAAGGAAATAGAATAAAACATAGAAAATGTGTTTTAGGCACCTCAGAGAATATTATCATCTGCATTATTTAAGGCAACATGGTGTTAGATCAAGGGCTGTGACAGTGTCAGGCTTAGCTAACACCCTGCTGTGACTGCTTAACTAAAACTACTTTAGCCCCAGCTTTAGAGACGCTGCCATGATTCGCTGTAGGTCAGTTCACCTTTAAATAGTGAGTTTTAAGAGTAGGGTTAAAACCTTCCTTTTTGATAAAGCTTATAGTTAGTGGCTCAGGTTATCCTGAGCTATCTCAATAATTATGCTGCTATAGGGTTAGACTGCTGGAGGACATAGGGACCCCTTTTTATCATTGTGTTTCATTCTATCTCTATTCTTCTACTCTGCACAATCTGTTAGTTCAATCTCTAACGTTCTGCTCTCTCTGCCTTTTCCCATAGTAGCTTCATCTGGTCTGTCCCTGTTTGGATGTGACTCCATTTTGGAGAGAAATATCAGCTGTGCTGCTGCCATCAACACCTTTCTTTATAGATGTTGGAGTTTGGTCCTGTTTCTCTGACTAACTGGATGTGCTTTCTTCCTATTCTGACATGGGAGCCGGCTCGGAGCTTGTCTGCCTGGCTGTGTGTTTCCTGGATGGTGTCGCCTTTTACAGTTGCCTTTTCTATGTCTGCTTCTGTCTCCTTGAACCCCAGTCCGCCTCAACAGATGGCCGCTCACACTGAGCCTAGTTCTGCTGGAGGTTTCTTCCTGTTAAAAGGGAGTTTTTCCTCTCCACTGTTGCTAAAAGCATGCTTGTTTTTCCTTGGAAAGAAAACTTGGAACCTTTAATCTGCCTGGATAATCCGGATCTGTAGATATTCGAGATGAAATGAGTTGTGAATGAAGGCTGGATAAATAAACTGAACTAAATAGGTGTGTTTAAGAATCTTTGGCTCCCAACAAAACCAGCGATATTATTTCTTATTTCCAAATGAAGGAGGGAGTTTTCCTTTTTTCCTTTAAATGATTGCTTAGTGGTCATTGCCTGGTGCTGTGAAGCGCTTCTATGGCTATGGCTCTATGGGTGTGCTGTGTGTTGCTAGGTATGTCCTGCCTGCAGGGTCCGTTGGAGAAAACTCCGGCCAGCCAGCACAGAATGTCGAGAATGAGGCTCTGTGCGTGTTCATCGGTCGGACCGCCCTCCATCTGGTGACACAGTGCGTCCAGCAGCTTCTCATGAAAGTCTGGGAACTGCAGCATGGCGCAGCGCTGGACCCTAGAGAAACCAGACCCCTGTTATCTTGTGAGAAATGCAGGAAAGGTATAAAACACCTAAAGACGGCAATGCTACCCCACAGATACATTCAGGGATCCATTTGGTGTTTGACAGACGTAGAGCGAACCTTTCTTTTGGAAGCGAAGTCTTCTTGAACTTCCTGATTGTGACGGACACTTCCTGCAGCAGGTCGCAGCCTCGCAGGTTCTCCACCTTCTTGGACTGGGCTGCACCCTCGGTTTTTCCTGAAGCAGCCCTCTCCTACAAAAGTGACAGAGCGGCTCTAGTAAAATCTGCCAGGGACCAGAATTGTCTCAGTTTAGCTAGAAGACCAAAGAGCCGACCCACCTTGGAGGCCTGGCTCTGCTGCAGCAGGGAGGACAGCGTGTGAGCCTTGGAGCTCTGAGGCTTGGCGCTGGGCATCCTGAGCACGGGCCTCGGGCTCTCCTCCATGCCGCTGTCGCTCACTGCTTTGATGTGGACCAGAAAGGAGCGGTACTTCCCTCCCGCCATTCCTGCAGAGCAAAGACGGTTAAAGAAACTCAGCATCCTAGTGAAACGATAACAGATCGGGATGGTTGGCATTGGGGGTTGGGGGGTTTACCTCTGACCAGTTTGGGGCTGGTGAGGCTCAGCATGCCCGAGTGTCCGGAAAGATCCAATCCACTGGCCAACCACACAGGGCCGCACAAAATGTCCTCTTTATGGTCCTCAAGGAACGGACACAGTACGGAGCCTGAGGACAGAGACAAAACCAGAAGATGCTCTGAAACCTGACCTCTGCCTGAGGGACGAGAAGGAAGCAGAGTTTGGTGCTTCGAGCTAAACGATCCTGATTCCCAGCAATTAGTTTAAAAGAAAGAACATCCCTTCTCTGAAGCATTAATCACAGCGTTCAGACTCATCTCCACTAAAGGGCTTCTCTTCACCTGGGGATTCCTCGATATCCATGAAGTGGATGTCTTCTGAGAAGTCCTGGAGAAGAGGCTGGCTGTTCTTCTCCCCGTTGGCATGGAGAAGGTTAGAGAGAGGGAAACTGATCTGTCTGTCCACTGCCGTGTCTGCAAAGAAAATAAAAACAATCATCAGATCTCAATCCATCGTATGAATCCTAATAAATGCTTCTCTGAATCACTAATGTTCATCTGAGCTTCAGCAGCATCAGAGCTCGTCTTTTTGCTTTGGGGCGTTTTAGGCTGTTTTTCCAAATATCAAAGCTGACATTTACAGCTTCAAACTGTTTATGTCACCTGCTTTTAAAATCTGAGAAGAAACGGAAAATCACTCAGAACTGCTTCATTAGTCAAATTTTTTTGTAGGTGAAATACCTCTACAAAAAAAAAAAAGGATAAATCACATTTCAGTGTTTGACTGTTGATAAAGCTTTCCTTCATTAAAATCACACGTGGAGAAGTGAACCCACCGGCCAGGAAGCCCCCACCTTCACAGCAGCGGGAATACCAGGCAGACAGGAGCGGGAATATCATGCTGAGAGGAGCGGGAATATCATGCTGAGAGGAGCGGGAATATCATGCTGAGAGGAGCGGGAATACCGGGCGGAGAGGAGCGGGAATATCGGGCAGAGAGGAGCGGGAACATCGGGCAGAGAGGAGCGGGAACATCGGGCAGAGAGGAGAAAGGAGCGGGAATATCGAGCAGAGAGGAGCGGGAACATCGGGCAGAGAGGAGAAAGGAGCGGGAATATCGGGCAGAGAGGAGAAAGGAGCGGGAATATCGGGCAGAGAGGAGAAAGGAGCGGGAATATCGGGCAGAGAGGAGCGAGAACATCGGGCAGAGAGGAGCGGGAACATCGGGCAGAGAGGAGCGGGAATATCGGGCAGAGAGGAGCGGGAACATCGGGCAGAGAGGAGCGGGAATACCAGGCAGAGAGAAGCGGGAATAGCAGCAGAGAGAAGCGGGAATAGCAGGCAGATAATGATCCCATTTCATTTCTCCATAACTGAGCAAATCCAATGAACCAAGCTGTTCCTCACCGCTGACTTTGCCCAGGCCTGGAGCTTTGTTTTTCAATAAAGTGACTTGGATCTGAGGAATGTTGACGATATTGGCGTTCAGGACGAACTTGAAGTCCACGTGGCCCACCATGCAGGCTTTGGGCAGCACCAGCTCAAATACGTGCTCATCCCAGCTAGAGCTGAAAAACAAAACAAAAGCAGATTTATGTTAAAAACAGAAAAATAACGCCACCGTCTATTTTTATCCTGATAAAAACAGAAAATATCTCTATCATCTATTTTCATCCCCTATAGAGCTAAAATCCTGCTGCATCTCAGGAAGTTAGGGGTGATCAGGATTCCGCATCACAGAGAAGACAAAATGTCCCAGGAGGAGCCGAGAGGAGGAGTAATCAGAGACTGAAAAACACACATAAAAAGGAGCAAAAATCTCCCCTAAGGTAAATTAAACAATCTGCCAATGGAAAGGGTATCTTTATTATTTTATTAAAATAATACAATTTTTATGATACTGTTAAACTAAGCGGGACTCAACCATTGGTCATCACAGCACCAACAATCAGTGGTTAGCCTGACTGTATAACTATTTCCCTCAGCCTCTATGTAAAAATTCTCCTCAAACTCAGGCCATTTCTCAATCTGTTTACTTGTGCGTCCTCATTTGCTCGTGAAACGTCATGAGCCTCAGCTCTAGCACTTGTCCGTTCTTGAGATTGACAGCTGTTAAGTTAAAAGTTCTCTTTTCTGTTGCCTGTCGTTT